TTTTTGCCTTACCTTGAAAATGTCCGATTTCCTAGTCTCGACCTTTATGGTTTCGGCGTGTTCTTTTACAAAAGAATCTGCAAGCATGGCAAAACAATAGATAAAGTTAGGCGGTAAATTATGATACCATACCATTGCTCCCTTTGATAGGGTTTCTCCAAATTTCTTTAGTAATACAGATTCGATCTTGTCGTTCTCTAGATCATTTCCTTTAATGGCACATGTGTAAGAGGTGACATGCTTGTTGGGGTTGGTCGTTCCATTATATTTAGGAATCTCGGGCATGCAGAACTTCTTAGGGATCGGTTTGGGAGCTGCGCTCGGGGGGAAAGGCTTTTGTACGGACTTTTTGGAATCCAAACCCTTCAATATTGGTGGTGCCATCGTGATCTGATCAACCCTGGAGTTATAAGTTTCCACTTTCTTGTCGTTTGATTCGATCCTCTTTTCTCCTGACTCTATCCGCTTTGTCACTTCCTCGAGCATCTTTATAATTTCGGGGTTAGTCCCCGATTCTTACTCATTTGACCTTACTACAAATGGCCCCGTTCTATGGGTGACTTCTTAGGGTGAACCGGGCTCAGGCCTGCTCGGTGCCTGGGTTTGGCTCTCTAACTGAGCTATCGCTACCTGTTGAGCTTGCAGCATTTCGAAGATCATTCGCAGGCTGATCCCGTCTTCTCCAATATTTTGGGTATTTCAAACTGCAGATCAGGTTCCACCATGAATGTTATTTTCGGGACCAGAATGTTGGTTCACTTCAATGGACACATGTGAATTAACGTCAATTGGATCCACGACCCGAGTCCCAACGGGGTCAACGGGTGGCCTTTCATCCCCGAGCGTCACGTTGTTATTCTCACCTTGATGGCCAAATTCGTTGTCGATATGTAGGGGCACTAATTGAGACTTCGTCATTTTTAACCTGAAATCAAAGATACTTCGAAGAGCAAGCGTAAAATAGTGTGTTTTACAGTTATTTGTATCAAATAACCACTATTATCCTTATCCCCACATTTGTATCCGAAAAACCACTATTTGTAACCGAAAAACGGATGACAATTGAATTTATACGTAGTTCTAAGGATACGTGGTATAACTTGATACAAATTGAGAAAATATATAAATGAATATCGAAATTAACTGTGAAAGAAATGAATACAAACCGAATGAATTAATTAGTCTAAGCCTTCAAGTTTTATCACCCTCAAACTGAATAGAGGGTACCTGATACAAGAACAAGGTAACTGAATATCCAAACTAGAAGAAAAGGCAGTGTATTGCTTTGTATTCTATGAATCTTATTGAGTCCTCCTTACCAATAATCAGACCCCCCTTTATATAGTGGGGATGTCCTATTCTTAATACAATTTTTAGATACAGTAAGGAATCCCATGATAGATTAATTAATTGGCCTCTCATTTATATGCGTCGTGATTCCCGCCCAATTGCGGATATTCCGACTTTCTATTTTTTGGCTCGATAAGCTTTCCTCGATCGAGACCGATCTCGGCCTCGATCGGTCTCTATTTTGCCCGATCTCGATCTTGATCTTAGCCGATCTCGATCTTGACCGGTCTCTGTTTTGCTCGACCTTGATCTTGGCTGATCTCGATCTTGATCGGTCTCTGGATCACGAGCTCGGCGACCCTTCTTCGCATTATGATTCTACACGAGGTCGAGCCTCGGTCTATCATGTCCCAATCTCGATTAGTCATACGAAGGGCAAACTCGGTTTTGACAGTATACAACTATATAATTTATTAAAATGTGAAAATTTTCACCATTTCAAGAAAACATATTAGGTCTTTCCTTTTTTTTCCGAGTTGTCTCTTCCATGGTAAAAAAAGATATAACTTTTCAGCTCCATAGGGAGAGAAATCAACATTATTAGAGGCGATTTGAAAGGCTCTAAAGTTGCGTTTGAGAGCTAGAGCAAATGAGGTAGTACTTGAGAGAGAAGAGAGAAAGAGAGGCCGGTCACACATGTAAGAGCATGAAAGAGATAGGGTTTTAAAAACTCTAGGGGCTGATAAGGGTGGCAAATAGTTGGTTTAAGATGGGTTAAACAATGAGCAATAATCTAACCGCGCTCAACTTAACTCAAATCTTTGTATTATTCTTAACTTTTAATAAAATCAAAACCCAACATTGTTAAAAAAATAAAAAATATAATTGGGCTCACTTAATTAGGAAGAAATGAATCTTTTTAAATAAAATGAAAAATAGTAAGGTTAAAGAAGGACAAAAATACACTATTTTACTCGTTTGTTCATTTACATATAAATAGCACTTTTTATCCTTGAATAATTGCTATATTTCGCGTTTAGTCCTTAGTGTTATCCGTCTCACACATTTAGCCTTCCATTAATTCATGTGTGTGTTTTTCATCCTTTTAAGTAACGAAGAAAACAAAAGCTAGCACAACATTCACTGTACTAAAGGATAAGCTTGGTATTTAAATTCTTAGTTTGCTTGTACTTAGCCAATTGCTTTATCAATGTGGATTATGCACGCCACATTAAAATTACACAATTAATTATGGGCATACTGGGTCGTCAGCTGGTGGTTACGGCGAGGTGCATGGCGGCTTCGGCTTTGGGGTTAGGAACGGAGGAGGAAAATCGCTATTCGAGTTCGCGAAGGCTTTCGAGCTGGTGATTGCAAACTTTAGTTTTCCGAAGAGGAAGGAACATCCGGTGACTTTTCAAAGTATGGTGGCGAAGACTCAGATTGATTATTTCCTCCTCATGTGGTGTGATAGGGGTTTGTGCGAGGATTGCAAGGTTATCCCGGGTGAGACTCTCGCAATGCAGCATAGGCTCTTGGTTATGGACATCGGTATCATAATAAGGAGGAAGAAGAGGTCTGCTCGTAGTAGACGAGGATCAGGTGGGGAGCCTTAACTAAGGATAAAGCTCAGGAGCTGGAGGGGAGGTTATCATCCATTGGAGCCTGGAGGAGTAGTGGGGACGCAAGCGCTATGTGGACGATGACAACGAACTGTGTAAGGGAGGCGACGAGAGAGGTGTTAGAGGTCTCGAAGGGTTTCTCGGGCAGGCATGAAGGCAACTGATGGTGGAATAGAGTAGTCCAAGGCAAAGTGGAAGCGAAGAAGGCAGCGAACCTGAAGTTAGTAGGGGGCACAAGCGAGGAGGAGAGGAGAGAGAACAGAGAGAGGTATAAGATAGCGAGGAAGGAGGCGCAGTTGGTGGTGACGGAGGCTAAGACTACGGTGTTTAGTCGCCTGTACGAGGA